TTTTTTTTTAAGATAAGTATGCGTTTAATGCTTTGCACATTGTTTTACTACATAGTACAAATAATCTCATTTATACTGAGCTAAGCCCGGTCACAATATTGTGGTATTTGCCCAAAAATAAATAAAAATGCAAAACAGAATAAGTAAAATTAATCTTATATTTGATAAGAAATGTTGGCCTATTTCCATTTTAATTCTAAGTAGACTATCGATCAGCAGTACATATTGTATGTAAATGCGAGGTTAGATTTACATTTCAGAAATATGTAACGAAAATTATTTTACCATATTCAAATTCATTGACCTCGCCGACCAACGTTTTTCTTACCACAGAGAACAATTTTATAATTTATCTTAAAATCCTAAGGTGTCATTAAATATGAATTCATTTTAGTAGAGTAACAAGTTAAATAGTCCATAAATAACCAAAAGTTATAAAATAATATATTTTTTTTTATTAGTTAATGTTTTAATGTTAAAAAAACCTGAAAATATTTGCACAAATAACAGAAACACGTTCTTTAAAAAAAAAAAATTGTATTTTATGTGTATATTAAATATATAACTAAAATAGTTTATAAAATAAAAATAAAAAAAATCATATGCAAACGACAAAATACTTAAACTTTAAAGTATAATTTATACGTCTTGATAAAACTATAAAAGTATTCAAATATTTACAAAATGTATGTTCATTTTTTTTACAAATTTTCTTTCTCAAGTAGTTCAACACAAATCAAATTGTGTATCTTTTATTGTACTTGAATCATTCGAAAATGCATTTTTACAGCATATATTATAATATTTCGGTACAACTACGTGCAGTCTGCAAAATTTAAAAATTTACCTTAGACTGATAACGCACCTGTTTGTCGCTTACCGTTTGCTCGAGCAGTATAAAGTAATGATTTATATAGAAACTAATTTTCCTTTACTGGAAAATGTAAAACATTAAAATGTAAGTGATAAAGGCATTGTAAATAATTAGATCTTGCACGAATATACATTGTATTAAGGCACTTAAAGTATCGCATGACAATTGAACGTCCATGATAATGTAGTTATACGGTTCCTGATAAAGTGCTATAAAAAGCTATTTTAATCCTTCTAGTAGGAGATTAAATTATGTCGCTATTAAACTGGCCTGTTTAATGTTTTATCAATGTATGTTTGCTTTGCGTTTTATCGTTTGCTTAATACTTAAATAGGGTAAATAACTAGGGTCTCAATTACTGTCCATTAATCCGATAGAGTACAGTGATTCTAATGTAAATATAAACAAATTAGAATACCAAAATAAAACAGGTAAACAATACAACGCATGCCTATTGTCTCATCGTTTCAGTACGTTTACAACTTTAATTCTGTCAGGTGCTTGTACTCCAACAGTAGAATCATATTGACCAAAAACTCAACACTTTTCAACCCGAATAGTTGTAGGTAATATGATAAAATATATGATGTATTTACCTATGATGTTTTTACCTTTAATGGCCGCGCCGTCAAATATAGCACCCACAAAAGATGGTATGCAACTTTTTCAAACATACCACCCAAAGGTGTGAGTTAATAATTACAATTGTTTTTTGCATTACCAGATGTGAGCCCCGTCGACGGTTACGAAGAGCCACCATTTCTAAATTATTACTGTGGAGGAAACACGAAATTAAACGATTTCATGTCCACCGTGGACACTCTGATAAGATCCGATTGTCGTTTAGTAGATGCCCGTAGAAGAATAGTGGATCATGCCAATGACGAAGCAGTAGAAGAGGTAGATTTCATAGTCGTGGGCGGTGGAGCTGCAGGTAATTTACATGCGGCCATCTTTAGAATCTAAGTATTAACAAATACATTTACACAATCTCACTTAGGTCCTGTAGTAGCGGCCAGGCTTTCAGAGAACCCTGCGTGGACGGTGGTCCTGTTGGAAGCCGGTCCAGAGCAACCTGCGGCCACGGACGTCCCGGCTTTCCTGTTTAGCGCCATAGGCACCAAGTACGATTGGAAGTATATCACGGCTCCTCAGAAGAACGCTTGTTTGGTCACGGCTGGAGCGTGCAGGTGGCCCAGAGGAAAGCTGCTGGGAGGAACGGCAGCCTTATCAGGTAAACAGAAAAAGCAAATCCAAATATCACCATCGACATCAAATGGCAATTGACGATCCTGTGTTTCTCTGACTGAATAGGTTCCATGTACTCCAGGGGGAATCGCCACATATACGACAGCTGGTTGAAAGACGGCAACAACAATTGGGGATACGACGACGTGTTGCCGGTGTTCAAGATGTCCGAAAACAATAGAGACTACAACAGCGGCAAGAGTCTATACCTACACGGTACCAAGGGACCGATTCCCGTGTCGCGCCCCGTAGAAGTTTTGCCCATAACCCGCATCATCTTAGACGCGGGCAAAGAACTGGGGTACCGACAGATCGACATGAGCGAACCGGAACCTTTAGGGTTTTCTCTAGCTCAAATCATGAAAAACGACATGGAAATTCGAGAAACGGTACCGACGGCATACATAAGACCTCATTTGAACCGCAGTAACCTCAAGGTGAAAATAAACAGGTACGTGACCAAGCTGTTAGTAAATCCGGACAAAAAGACCGTCTACGGCGTCGAGTATGTCGACACCAACAACAACAACAGGACTTACAAACTGATAGCCAAAAAGGAAGTGATCCTCAGCGGCGGGATAATCGGTTCTACTCAATTGCTACTGTTGTCGGGAATCGGACCGGAAGAAGACCTCAAACGTCTGGGCATACCTCTGGTACAGAACCTAAGCGTCGGCCGTAACCTCCAGCACCACGTGTCCATTAAAGTCAAATTTCAACTGAACGTGACCAACCACCGAGTGCTCTCCTACCAATCGGTATTTCAATACTCATCGAACAACACCGGCCCTTTGTCTACCACTGGCGCTCTCCAGGCTTCGGCGTTTTTGAAATCCGACCAGAGAAACGCCAGTGAACCGGCCGACATTCAGTTGTTCTTCGACGGATTTTCCACAGGTTGTAGTAATGCGCAAACGCATATCGGTTGCACGAGACCCAACGAACAGCCGACGACATTAGGCATAAGAGCAGTGAACACATTACCCCGGAGTAGAGGTACCATAAAACTCAATAGCCCCGACCCGTTCGACCGACCGATAATCGACCCGAATTATCTGTCGGAAGACACGGACATAAGGGTGTTGTTGTGGGGCATAAATCGGATTAAAGAACTAGCCAACACAAAAGCCCTGCAACGCTATGGCGCCAAGCTGTTGGACCGTACTCCAGTCAAGGAATGTCGTCACTGCGTGTTCGACACCGAACCGTATTGGAGATGTTACATCAAATATTATACAAGTGGCGAAAACCATCAGGCTGGCACCAGTAAAATGGGACCGGCCTCCGACCCCGAAGCTGTTGTAGACGACCAGCTAAGAGTCCACAACGTCAAAGGAATTCGAGTGGTAGACGCGTCGATCATGCCACTGCAACCCAACTGCAATCCGATAGCTCCGATAGTGATGATTGCCGAAAAAGCTGCTATATACATTAAGAACTTTTGGAAGAGCTAAAATGAACGCGCATACTCTTCAGATACCTTATATTGGATGTATGATATAAGATATCTCGCAAACGGACCTCATGTTATCAACAAACACAATATTGCAATGACTGTATATTTTGTAAATCGTTAAACTTGGTAATAATTATAATAAATCCGATACATATTGTTCAATAAATATGTGTCCTAAATCACCTATAAATACCGCAACAATAATAGCTATCCAGCTTATTGGTAATTCTTTTGAAGAAGGCTTTGAGCTTTAAGACTTTCTGATTTATCGTTATGTTGTAATCTCACAATCGCACTCGATACGTTATTTCAATCCTTTCTTTTAAAAACTATTTTTTTTTTCAGACTCATGATTGGCTGAATAGGTACATAATTTGTCTGGATATTAGGCTGTAGTTCGATTAAGTAACATCGAATCGTTTATGTGCATCAACGGAAACGCTTGACTACATTGGAACCAAGCACAATGCGAACACGGTTATCACATTAACCCGAATGGGTGCCGTCGACGGATTGATCAATGAGATTGACATAAATGGTGTTTTATTAAAATTAACGACACAAGTACACTGTATATCGCTTTAACCTTTACGATTCCTTTCATAGCTATGTAGGTATGCTTGTTTATTTAATTATAATATATGACGGATACAGGCGCAGGTAATATTTTGAATAATTAAGTTTACCCGTTCCGCTTTTGTATGCTAAATCGAGTTTTGATATTTCGACCGACCAGACTAATGAATATTGCGGTATCATTTTCAACTTCACCGGCCAAGGCAATATCCTTTCAAAGTAATTGACCACCGGTAACCTAATTTAAATTTTATGATAACCGACATTGCATTTTGTTGGCTCCATACCGTTTCCATTTATGGAAATAATTCCTTTTTGAAATCGTTCACGGAAATACTATGTTGATAATTTCTGTTATAATGGTTTCTATTTTTTTTTTCTATGAGATTTCGTTAATTAATAGTTTATAGCTCAACAGCTATAAATATTATGATCTCATATTAGCTCGACTGTGTTAACAACACAGACTATGATTTTATAATGTTTAAGATAAACTATGCGGATAAAAACAATTTTTTTACATAAATCAAATTATAGAGGTGCCTACAAAATAGTTAATAAACGTTGACCCTCGACTTGAACTAGCCCGTGACCGTTAATTGTAACTTTTTTACATTGCGTTATTGCCGGACTTAAATTTGTAATCGTCATGAAGGTCAATGCTAGCTAATAGCGATTGTCGATAACGAAACAGTATTTAATGGTTAAAACTACTATTATAATTTACATATTATGTATATATGTACATATATATATATAAATATACAAAAAACCAACGATTGATGTTTTAACGAGTGATTCATTCGCTTAAACGTGAGATTAAAACATAGCGATTATAATTATTATTATTAAACGTTATTATTTACCTACTTGGTGAAATAATTAGCAAACGGAATAAACTAATGATTTAATTTGCATTTAACTGAATCGTTTGCTGTTCACTTAGTAAACACTTAGCAGATATATTAATAGCTGATGCATCTCTCTAATTATTTTGGTTTTTTACACAATTTTACATTTATTTATTTTTTATCTCATTCCTAAACCGGAAACCCTCTATGATATCGAAACGGTTTTAATTTATAAACTAGACAAATTATTTTCCGGAAGAAAATTTCATAATAATGTATAGTAGTAGTAACGCATCACGTGGTTGCGTGCTGCAAGCAATTTTTGAAAATAATAATTTGTTTACCATAGCAGTTTGAACGAACATACTTAACTGCGTACATTTCTAGGTAATATTTACTTAAGTGGAATTCGTTCTAGGTTTTTACTAGCTGGTAGCTTATTTCATGTGTGATTAAAGCGTTAATTAAAAAAAATAAAATTAAAAAAACGATGAAACACATATTATAAATGACAAGTTCTATTTTTTTTTCTTTTTCTAATACACATAGTAATACACTTAGTTGTATGTATAAACACAATTGTTAGTATTTACATGGACTTGCAATTGGTCGATACAGACTTGTTTGCAAACGCACGCGATTCGATAATATATTTTTATTCAAAGTACTTCTAAGAGGTCGATAACTCGCAAGACAAGGACCCGGTGTTATAATAAGACTATATTCTTAGAATATAGACAACTAATTCCGACAACTGTCGATAGCATCAATAGCATCACTCAAGACCAATTCGAGCACAACGCAGAGAGAGTAAAAAAAGAGTGGATTTCTGTGTAGTTTTCAACGCGGATTTTCGGATAAGAAGCAAATTGACAGCTTTTTAATTCTGTTCCAATCCTTTAGCTGTCGCGAACGGCAATCGTTTTCAGCCGCTTAGGTTTATCTTCAAAAACGAATTTGTCCCCACCAACCACACGTTTATGTAATATTATTTCCTCGGTGACATCTCGGTTCTGTTTTTGACACAAACAAAGTAGAACAACAACTGTTATGGTGCATACTATGTAATTTGTGCATAAAAGGCTCGGTTCGATTGATTTTGTTGCGAAAGTGAAACAATTATTTTTTAATAATAATAATAAGTAATAACTATTGCATTAACGGCCGTTGTAAAATGGACCTCGAACAACGGTTGTTTAAATGTACGTACACATGCATGTAATGTACACAGATAATTTGTACCTAAGTACTACAATATAATAGTATAATTGCAACAAAAATAAATAATGCGTTTGCAATTATCGTGCTCATTTGTATCCAATCATCGATCGGATGAGATTAGGAATTATAATAATAATAACATTTCAATATTCGCAAAGGTCTGTACATGATTTATAAAAATTAAAAATAAATTATCAATTGAGTTGTAATGTAATTTAAAATCCTACTATAAATTTACCAATGGTTTGTGTAGCTCAATAGAACTATTTACAAAAAATAATGCAAGTATACAGCATAATGAGGTCAATGTGACAGCTAAAAGTGATTCAAATAAATGCATTTTTGCTATTGGTCGGATACGATTAAGGTTGATCGCCTGTCTATAATAATTTATTGCAATATTATATTGTAATTAACAATTAAAGAAAATATTTTCAAATATACCCGATGACTGTTGGTTCACTCACACATAGCAACCTGGAAATTTACTACGGTGTAAAGTGAAAAATTTCATCCATTTTTTTTGTTTTTCTTAATAAAAAAAAAAGGTCGGCTACATGTTACTGAGAAAATCCTATATGTTATGGGTCCATTATAGATCTATCTTATGTCTAATTTTCACTCCTTAAACCCTAAAACTTCACCTAAAAAAACGAAATAAAGAAAAAGTTTTCGCTCCTTTCCAGTTGAAAGGGTTTATGCTATCATTTGATTGGTCATCGGACCTTCGTTTAGCAGCACATACGTCATGCAACGCCTGCAAAGGTGTGCCTCGATAAAACAATATTTGTATAATCACAGATATTGGAGATACACGAAAATGTTATTCCCGGCTAAGCGCACCGACACGGAGAATAATATTTATGATAAAAACATTATTATTTATGAGTAATATAATACGTGTTATGTTTTTTACACTCAATAGGTATTAAAAAACAACATTGAACAGTGTCTTCAGGATATTCGACGACGCTCCACGTACAACTATTGATCGCCAATTTGGTTCACTGTTAGTTTTAAAACATGCGGTTGTACACAGTTGGTTTTATTTTGATAACATAATTCTTAATTCGTTTGTCGATACAAAACAAAATATAAAACAATATTTTTTTCCAAGTTCATGATTAATTTTTTTACAGTAATAAAATTTCTTTTGATACAAATTTTCGGTGTACAAATGAAAATTAATTTTCTCTACAGAAATTGAAAATTCGTGGCGATAACTTGCAAAGCTTAGGCGAAACCGTCTTGGCGATGCTCGACGAACTTCATTCTGGCGTAAAACGGAATCCAACAAATTTCCCGAAGCTTTGATAATGATAAATTTACACTTGAACAACGCTAAGTCACCAAGGAAAGTGTTGAACTAGTTTGTCTCCTTCAAACTTCTGCGAGTAAAAATGGTGAGCTTTTGAAAATGCCTTATTAAGATTCAGGAGTTGATCCGGATTCAACGGAACATTTCAGCCTCGATGACCTTATAACTCTTGTGGCCGGCGCTTTTATTATTCCTTGGACGATAATTATAGTGGCAAGTACAAAAACCATTTGAAACAATAGCACGTTTAGTAGACAGTACTCTGGAAATGAAATACATAATGAAGAAGGTGTAAAAGAGACATTATCCAATTTGCATCCGAAAAACATGTTGTTTCCCAACCGGATTACAAAGGACTACTTTTGAACATTACACTGAAAGCAAAACTGGATTCAAAAACCATGCCAACATAGCCAATTCAAGATGGTTCAACAAGTCTTAAGAAAATCTTAAAGTTTTGCAAACCAAAGCCAGAGTTGTTTGAACCAAAAAATTAGCGAATTTGACAGTTTTATCCATCCGGTACTTCACACGAGTTTATCGAATTAAAAATGTTACCAGTGTTAAAAGAGTTCAAAACCATTTGGGGTTCACTCGCGTTGAATTGAAAGACCTGATCGATTACACAGGCAAAGAACAACATAGAAACGGATCCAGAATGTGAATTTCACCGACGACCATTTCTCCATAAACTTGGAAACCGAAAACCATTGTAGTTATCTCATTGAAACGTTAACGAAGAACACCAAGAGTCTTGAAATGTATATTAGCAGATTGAAAGGCCATCGAGACAAACACGGCGTTGTTTTACCTTTGAATGCCTTTCCCACGAAAACATGCTCTTGGACATAAACTATTGCGACACTGTAGTTAAACTTGGCAAGTAACCATTTACATATATTTTTATAACGATCGGTTTATTGCATTGAACTCGTTTAGGAACTAGAGTCGGCTGTTGGATGAAAACATCCTCTAGCTATAGGCCACCATATTGAGAACAGTAAGTTATTGTTTTTCCAACGATTTATCAAATATTTTACCGTGTTATCGCCGTTAAAATCGTTGGCCAATTAAAATGTAGAGATGTGAAACGTATTCTGCGTAGTCAGATTCTGAAGCTGGAAAAAATGCAGGTGCTTTTGAGCATTTTCAATCATTTATTCTATAAAAGAGTTTCTGCGGTATTTAAACAAAAAATACTGAACTCAATATTATTATATGAAAAGCGCGTACGGGTTGATATATATGTCCCGACCTGGGAAGCAGCCATGTTGTTTACAGTTTCGTGGAAAATAAAAATGCTACGTTACTTTTCCATGATAAATATTAGAAAATGGCCAACGATTTCAACGGTGATATATTTGATAAATCATGGAAAAAACAATGACTGTTAACCACGAACGTTCCCTAAACGAGTTCAGTGCAATAAACCGTTCGTTATAAAATAATATATAAACGATTGCTTACCCAGTTGGGTTAACTGCAATGTGGTAACCGTTGACGGCCAAGAACATGTTTTCGTGGGTAAGGAATTCGTTTTTCAATTAAAACAACACCGCATCGTGTCTCGATAGTCTTTCAATCTGCCAATATATACGTTTCATCACTTTTGGTGTTCGTTGTCAACAATTCAATGCGATTATTGCAATCATTTTTGGTTTCCAAATTAATGGAGTACCCTTCGACGGGGAAATTAAATTTGTCAAGTACCACCGGATTGGAACAACGTCTGAATACCGTGCCTAACTATCCTGGCAAAGCCGTTTCTATGTTTTCTTACCTGTGCGTAAAACCCACATATGGTTTTGAACTCTTCGAGGTAAAATGTTTAACTCAATCAACTCGTGAAATGTAATAGATTTAGCACAACCCCCCTTCCCCCCACCTCCCCGCGATCCTATAAAATAAAATTGCATACAATAATTTGCTTATACGAATTTACTATAATTTTTATTCATTTATTTGTATTGACGGCACGAAAAAATAAAAATTGTGTTAAGCCAAGTGACAGTGTATGAATTACATTAACTTCAAATAAGCAAATTGTATCATTATTTGGATGTAGATGTACAAACTGATATTTATAATAAACTGCTTATTATAAACGAGTTGTGCTTGTTTTTTTTTTTTAAACTTTATATAATTGTTTAATTAGCAATACTATATAACACTATATATATTTGTTATAATATTAATAATAATACATTATAATATTATATAAAATATAAATGTATTCATTTATACGTTAAATCTATCAATGACTTAAAAAGAAGAGGAATTCAATAGAATGCTCTTGTCCTATAAACCCTTTCCTGTCTTTAAACATTTCCAGCCCACACACAATTAGAATAGAGATAAAGGTTTTTGGTAAAAAGTGTTTTAATCATAAGGACGTCGGTAAGACGGTTTCGCAACAAAATGTATGTATAGTTACTGTGCTGCATTTTTTTTTGTTCCACTAGTCTACTATTCTAATAAATATTAAATACACATAGGTATGCAATTAAGAAAATTTTACAGCACCGTTGACAAACAACACTCTGTACCTGCTCTAAAATACATATATTATGTATATTTATTATTTAGGTATACAAATATAATTCGCTTCTCTCCAATAATTACCAATCGTTTTACACAAAACAGTTTATTAAAAATAATAGTATTTATTATAATATAATATACATATTATAATATTAGGAAATTAAATTATACATAATAAATATATAATATGTAAATTTTTTTTTTTCTATACATCTTATAAGGGCCCCAGGACCATAATCTTACTGACCCTATCCTTGTTAGGTTCTTGACTCTCGGTCTGACACTTGGTCATCATTTGCATCTGCCTTTTCAAGATACTCTTTGATGTATTCACTTACTTTACGGCTTTTAGGTATTTTCCTTATCAGTTTATAAAATTGATCACGATCTATCAATTGTACTAAAAAAAAAAAACGTTTTTCTTTAATTAAAAATTATTTATTAATTTGTATAAACTATTAGATTACAAACAGCAGTTTCAAATTTTAAATGTGACAAATTTATACAAAAGCACTACTATTTCTATTTTGATTTAACTTCTTATCGATTGATACTTTCTTTAAATTACTTGTTTTCTATGTTGATAAATAATTAATGCTTACTCTGATTTTGATTAGAAAGTGATATGTGATAAAAATAGTGCTGTAAAATATCTTCACTTAAACTGTCATTGTCCACAAACTCTTTAAACATTTCTGGTGTAATGGTACCATCAGCAGCATCAGTTAAATGATTACTAACTAAAACTATTGAAAACGCCAAATCTAGTTGCTGAAATTTAAATATACTAATATCATATTACGTTATTAAAAAAAAAAATAATTACACAATTTATATCATATTTCTTATACATTGCATAACAGTAATATGAAAAAAAACATTTGATTTTTTATTAAACCCTATGAGATATTGAGTGGTTCATGATAATATGATCACTCTGGTGTACCCGTTAAGCTATGAAAATAATACACATAAAGGTCATCACAGAGGACATATTTTGACCATTTTAATTGGAATTTAGTAATTATTATCTGACAAAATATAAAAGAATTACCTTGTCCTCGAGTTGCTCTTCTACACTTCTTGTTGCCGTTACAGGAATGACAGCTTTACCAGGTGGCAACATAGCCCTAAGCTGAAATTTGATAACACTAATATCATTTAATTTCAAAATTGATTACACAATCCAAAATTGAATATGTTTGAAAAATTCAAATAATAATTTTAATAATAGTCATTACAAAAATAAAACTTTAACCTATGTATAAACATATATTAGAATTACACAATTAAATGTTTATTGTCTTAAAAAATATAAAAAAATTACCAAGTTCTCATAGTCCTCGAGTGTTTGTGGTCCCACTACATTGGTAATCAAAACAGAAGATACTAAGAAAATTATGAGTTCGTAATGCATTTTGCCTGTTATTATTTTATCTCCAATAAATTTAAGTACAACTCGGAAACAAAACGAATAATATATTATTGTCCCTCTGCAATGACCAGTTTTTACAGTAAAAAAACCAAATTTTATAAATAATAAATATATTTTCAAAAATATGTTTGCTTTAAATGTTAATACTATGGCGTTGGTTGTAAGATTTGTGGTTCAATATGATTTCGTCAAGTCCCCATCGAGGAACGAAAAATGTGTTCTTACATATTTTGATAACTGTTTAGAGCATTTTTTTTTTTATGGATAAACACTACAGTATGAATCATAAAAACACATTTTAATACATATATATAATGCTTATATGCGTGGTTTAGACGGTAAATACGTTTTACAATGGCTTGATGCGAAAATAACGATTTTATAATGATGTTTTTGATTTTTCGCCTTATCTGTTGGCACTACAACAGCTATAGACCCTAACTTTGGATCATAACATTTATGCAATTAGTAGGTATACTAAAGGGTAACAATTTAATAAAAAAAGTTCACTCCTTCGCCATTTGAAATAGGAGAAAAAACACGTAGCTAAAAACTTTATACCGTCATTTGTTTAATGTTGGATTTTAGGCGCCAGAGTAATAATTTGAACAACAACACCTTCCAATGACGCAAAAACTATACAAATATTTTATATTGTTTTTTTTTTTTGTAAATAGTTAAAACATACTTTGTGTTCATATATTATTTATAAAGGGGTTTTAGTGAAATATTATTCTTGTTATTGTCTTAAAGTTACAAAAAAAAACACTAGTGTATTTTTTGGAGAGGGTGGATTGAGGGCATAGTCTACTCTTTGTCTTAACCAAAAATAAAACATTAATAAATTAACGATTAAAGGAAGGGTATTTAACATAGTTAGCATAGAAAATTTAGGCGGACAAAATGTGATCTTCTATAAATAGGTACTTTCGTTACTTGGAGAGAGAAAAAATTTAAAAAAAAGTTTACTCTTTCACTTATTTAACCTTTAATCTACTATATATTGCATACTTAACATAATATATTAAGTTTATTCGGTACTCATATACATATGTACTCTAAAATCCTAGTTACAGATTTAGTCAAGCCTTCAAGACCCCGTCGAGAGAAGAAAGGGATAAGTATATAATGGCATTTGTTTTGTACATACACCCTATTATGAATCATAAAAACACAATTTAATATATTTAACGCTTATATACATAGTTTAGACGGTAAAGAAGTTCGGCAATGACTTTTAAAGTTGTTTTCTTGTTCTGTTATTAATTTTTGATACACAGAAAAACGAAAAAATATTATCCTCGATGCGAAGATAATGATTTTATAATAATGTTTTTGATTTTTCGCCTTATCTGTTTGCGCTACAACTTTAGACCTTAACTATAGAACATAACATTTAAGCAATTGGTATATTTGTTTATACTTTTGGCCCTTTCAAATGGGGAAAGACCAAAGAAAATGGCCGATTATTCAACTTAGACTTGCTTTAAATTCGAGTGAAACGGTCGAATCTAGTCGAAATTGATATAGGTCATACAATAGATATATGTCTTGCTATGCAAAGAAATCGGTTCAGTGATTCAGAAGACAAACAGTGTTCCGCATTGTAGCAAAAAAAAACAGCATATGTCAACGATTAAATAAATAAAACTACAAATGTTTGTAATTCGAACAAAAATATATTTTAAGTTACAAACATTGCCGCCGAATACTCGCCTGTTTACTGATTCAAAGTCTCCTTTGATAGTTTACTAATTTAAATACTTACAATAAAATAAGGTACTCTTTTCGATTGCTTGAGAAAAAAAGTTATCTTGTTTACACACAAAAAAAAAAAAAATCATTTAAAACCAATTCCTTCCATCAGCTCCGCATCAAAGCTGAAAATTGTTCACTTTACACTTTGCAATTTGCATTATACTTAACTATAACATAATATAATTATGTAAACGTCTTTTTTATAAAATAGAGACCTAATCATTTTGAGACGGTAATAAGAGGTGTTACTCTCTAAATGATAAGACATTAAACCACAATACAGTCTTAGGAAACCTAAGCAAACTTCCAAGTTGGAAAATCGCCTTATTTCCGTTTCCTTTTCTACTATTTCGTAATGTACCAGCCGTAAGCTGCTTCTCGAGGGGTTGAGCCGGAAGTCTAAACAGCTGTCGTGTCATTACAATAAAATATTAATCAAATATACACGACACAATAACGAACACACAAACTCGCATGCAACAGCGAGATTACCAGGAATTTCTAAAATATTATCATTAATTACTGTCGGTTTTCTTCTTTTATAGAGAATTGTATGACTGTCCGTCCGACCTAACCCTAGGGTTATTTTACAAGGAGAGGTACCTAGTCTTCCGTGAAAAAGAACATTAAATAAAAACAATTTTTTTTTGCTGCCCGGCCTTACAAAACGTTTATGTATAACAATATTATTAAGTACCGTATATTTTACAGACTGTGTGTGTGTATAATGCAACGCCTAACAAAAAAAAAACACCAAAGGCTACTAAATTGTAGTGCGGATAAAGTTCCGGGTAAAATTTATAAAACTTGATTTTTCATTAAAAAGACATTCCTAAAAAATGACACCAAACGGCAAAAATATAATAATTTTAGAAATATTTTTCAGTATATAGTAAGATATTTTTAAATCACACTTTAACGAAAAATCACTTATTAATAACACAATAATTGTTCAATAATAATTCCTAATCATTTATATTGTTTTATAATACCTACCTGTTATTTTTTACCAAAATACAAATGTATAAGACACAAAATCTTCTTATGATTTATGGAAAATATTTGTATTGTGTATGTATTGATGTAACTAGCCTAGCCATGGCTGTTTTTACTTAATACATTAAATTTCAATAACCGGTTGATAATATATATATAATAAAAATGGTGACGCCCAGAAAGCATAAATAACTATAGAACTATAAACCCATTAGTGTGTAAGCAAGCCATGACCTATACGGTAGGCACAGTAAAATGTCCGTACCATTAGTAATGACAAGCTAACAGAAAACCTATGAGTGTATGATTGAGTGTATCTATTGTATTATATCATAATTAAATAAGTAAAGGCTAATATAGTTATGAAATGCTTAAACGTGGTATAGGTATCGTGTGATTTCAAGTCTCCATTAATAAACATAAACGATTCAATATTACAATATTGAACTATAACCTAATATCCATACAAATGATGTACCTAATAAAAAATAGTAATTTCCTAGCCACTCATTAGTCTAAAAAAAAAAAAAAGTTTTTAAAAGAAGAAATTTATAAAAATGTATCGAGTCAAGATTTGTGATTACAACAAAACGATAAAGCAGAAAGTTTTATAGCTCTAGATAGCCAAGGTCTATCTGATGAGTGTAAAATCAACTAATAAAACTTAATATTTTTCTTCTTTAAATTAGTCGGCGTATTTAAACCACTTGTGGCGATCAGAATTTGTTCAAACAAATTATATTGTTAACCATTTTTAGTTCATAAGTTTGACAAGGATTCGGAGACCTTGAAAACCAGTTAGCCAAATATGAGTATAAAATTAAAATTTAAAAAAAACACACATACCAATTTATTTAGCTAACCGATTTTAACAAAGTATTTATTTTTCAATAAATGATTTAACATATTTTCCTAAGAAATCAATATTGGCCGAGGTAAATTAGACGAGTAATGTTTTACGAGTGATTGTGCAATTTATTTTTTATAGATAAATGATAAATATATATTTATTATTTCAAACATACTTATACTTCTATTTTCATCTTCTCGATATTTTAGCTTTGATGCGGACCTGAGAAGATAGAGGAGATTTTACATAAATAATAAAAATACAAATTTTTTATTTGTCAAAGGTCAATGAAAAGTTTTTTGTAATTTACCTTCTAAACCGCTAAACCTATTTGTTCGTGTAACAGGTCTACAAATGAAAAAATGCCACCAGGAAGGTACTCGGCCAACGTTTTACAAATTTCACCCCAAAAATGTAAGAATTTTCTTTCTTCTCAACTTAAAATTACAACAAACTTTATAATTTTTTTTTTTGTAATAGCCTAATAATTACTTTTAAACTTGTACGGAATAGTCTTTAGATAAAGTACATAAAAAAACCCTTTCGAATGTACCAATAAAGACGAGTATTTATGATTTTTGAGTTTTGTTTTTTATTAATATGCTGTTGCGTCATTTTTTTTTTAGTGTACATTTTAGGGGTAATGACTGGATTTTCTTAGACACAAATAATTGCAATTTTTACACGTCGGATAAACATGGTGTTATTAATCGCTTGTAAAAGTGAACGGCGATGTGGCTTTCGGCTATGCCAAACACCACATAACGTCTTCTAATAATAATATATTATATCAATTCCTTAAAGCCCAGCCTTGCTTTTTTTTTTCCAGATTACCGTCGCCAGCCAGCGTGTACAAAGTCATTAACGTCATTTAATAATTAACACCAAGCTTGCCGTTCAAAGGATGTGTTGTATACGAGGTGCCCACTCGGCTAGATGACACTTGACAGCTCCTCCAACAGCTGTTTGCACGAACTGGTTCTCAGAATGTACACGCCTATATTTATAATCAAGCAGATGAAAATATCTTAACAATGAACACAGTATTTCACTTCTCGGTAACTGTCGGTGTCTTTGAAAAGCAACAACAAACATGTATTATTATTTTTTTTTTTTTTTGCACTTGAATGGATTACTCTTATCCGTTTCCGGCCTCGATCGCGCACCGGGTTTTTTCCTTCCACGTCAAAGCTGTTAAGCCCAATTATTTCGTTTCTCGAACAATAGTAATAATTTGTGACATTAATGACATTGATAATACAATAATAATTAGTGTAAGCGAACGACGACTAATTTGGGGCAACGACCAGACGACAATATTGTGTGCATTTAAAAAAAAATTGTTCGGTTCACTTAGGGGGATTCTTTGGCAACTTTACTAGGTTGTGTAGGAAACGGATTTTTTTTTTGCTTTATTCCGTGTAAAGTAATTGAGTCTTTTATTGAAAAAATTGCAACTTTAATTTGTATAATTACAAAAAAACTGAAATTGTTAAATGAAAATTTGGCTTCCTACATGACACGAAGAACTCGAATCTATTTGCAGAAACAGAACTGGACTAGCCTAGTATAAACAGGTGTAATTTTGTCATGTCTAAAACTAAACCATCTTTTTTCTTAAATCAAATTCGCGTGCAATCCCCATAACGAATTTAAGCGTTTAAAAACTTTTTATTTTTTTACACAAATTTGAATAGTATATTTTAAAGGTACAATTATACAACTTTAATGTAGATGCTTGTGTATTGACGAATACCCACAAAAATACTGATAAAACAAATAATGCATTTGAATCGGTACGATATTAGATATGAGTCACTAGTTTAATAAAAACAACGTGAAATCATAAATGGATTTTTTTATATTTTGCTTTACTGACTGACTGGACATAACTAGACTGTATTATAAACGGAAAACGAGTCAGAATTTCTCCGAACGACACCTCATCGGTCAGAAACAATAATAATTATTGTATCTACACTTATCCGGTTATTGATTATGCCCAATTGCCTAAGTTCCCTTTTAGTTAAATTGTAGTTGAGATAATATTGTAATATTATTTTACTGCTATCGGAACACAATTCAAATTGCCAATAGTAATTATTTTTCAAAACTATATTTGGTTGATTTTTATTCTGAAAAGTTTGGTTTACTACATCTGGTTGTAAATAAGTAATGTAAACGCGGATTGTAAACGAAAACGGCTTTACCGTGTAAATAAATATATAAATATGTAAATCGTTGTAGTAATTATTCTGAAAAAAGGGAAAATAAACAGTTTAAAGCGAGTTTAGATAAGACCAAGTACCGTATACCGCTCAGACGAGCAGTATCTCTCCCTGACCGCTACCGTGGTAACACTGATTGTTGCAATCTCCTTGATAACGCGTGATCGTTCAAATTTATAGGTTAGAACATTTATCATTAATTGAAACCGTGTTGTTTATACGCTTCGGTATTTTGCTTTCGTGGTGAAAACTTTTACAAATTTCAATTTTGAAAAGTCAAATAAATTAATCGTTAAGTACGTCCAAGTTAAATCGAAACTATGCCGGAGGAAGTGCCACATTTTATACCGCCGGAAATACAAAATAATCCGACAGGATGGGGACCTTGCGAGATGCCCGACCAGTTCAAAGACATGCCTTATCAGCCATTCTCGAAAGGCGACCGCATTGGAAAGGTATAAAAATGGAAATCTTTAAAATCCTTGTTAAAAAAACTCATGCTAACTCAATATTTTCCTTAGATATCCGACTGGACTGGATTATCGCAAGATAAGAAATACCAAAGTGAGTTTATTGAACGGCCCCATTTTATCGCCTGTTAAACCGAACATTTCTAACATCAATATTTTGTTTTTCCTTCAGACAAATACCAGTCGAGTTTTGGTGGCGGTACTCAATATGCCTACTACCACGAAGAAGATGAAAACACGTTCCACTTGGTGGACACGGCTAGAGTACAAAAACCACCGTACCAACGTGGACGTCATTTCCGACAAGGTGGCCGTATGATGCGCGGACAAGGCGGTCGTGGCGGAATGTCTCGTTTACCCGGAGGGTCTAACCAATTCCAATCGTTAGGAAAATTGAATAAACTCCAAAGGTAAACACATTTCATCAAACAATCTTTTTATTTAAAAAGATGCCCATTTTTTCGTCGAGAATTAAAATATAACAGCAAAATTAAAACAAAAAATTAACCTACTCAAGTTTCTTAAAATGTTTACTTTTAGAGACCTAGTGTAGATTTTGCATTCATTAATTAAGATTTAAAATTCTACCTGTTATCACTAATCTAGTTCAAAATGTAAATTAAAATCAAACAAGTTAGTAAAAAAATCATTTTTTCCCAAACAGTAGAGTTCTAAAAATGTAAGAAAAATTAATTTAGAATCCGTTTATTAAAAAATATTGATATATTATATATTTTATTATATTACTAAAACGGAATGAACTAGTCGCTAAATTATGTTTATTAATGAACCATTAATCTTTAAACAAACGGCCTTATTGATTTTATTTGTTTTTAATTTACATTTACTGAAATCTTATTTTACAGAGATCGTAAGAACCCCAATGCACGTAGAGGTTGGAACAAAAACCAAGGTGGCCGATCTAATAAAAACAATATGCAAATGAAAAGTCGTGAAGCTTCAGTCACAGTGCGAGCCGATTGGAACACAATCGAAGAAATGGACTTTGTTAGGTTCTCTAAATTGTCGTTGCCTTCCATTAAGGATCCTGAAGATATGTAAGTCCTGGACAACACTCGTTAAATAAACAGTTTGAATGTAATTTTTAATTTACTTTTATTTTATCCTAGTGTATGCTGTGGCTCTCTGGAGTATTACGACAAGACCAATGACAGAGTCAATGTCAAGAACGAAAAACCGTTGCAGCGCATCGACAGACTCTTCCACACCGTTACCACCACTGACGACCCCGTCATAAGAAAAGTAAAATAATCGTGTTTAATTTATTACGAACCGATCACATTAATGTAATGTAATTTTTATATTTTACTCTACCCAACAACAGTTGGTGAAAACCGTAGGTAACGTCTATGCTACGGACGCTATATTAGCGTGCTTGATGTGCTGTACTCGGTCAAACTACAGTTGGGATATTGTCATCGAGAAGGTTGGCGACAAATTGTTCTTCGACAAGAGAGATAACACCGAATTCGGTATGATTTTCTTATTAGTCAATTTTTTGTGAAGTTTATTTACTCTTGATTTGTGTTTTTTTTTTTATCTCCCACTTAGATTTACTTACCGTCAATGAAACCGCCGTTGAACCTCCAACCGAAGATGTAAATAGCCTTAACTCGCCGAGGAATTTAGCGCTGGAAGCTACGTTTATCAACCAAAACTTTTCACAACAAGTACTGAAAACCGTAAGTAGAATGTTTTTGGTCACGTACACACAATTTCCACAATGAGTGTGTCTCATCGCTAAAACGTTTAGGGTGAAGCTCGCTATAAGTTTGACGAGACCAATCCTTTTGTGTCGGACGATGAGACCGAAGGAGAAGTGGCTTCGGTTGCTTATAGATACCGTAAATGGGACTTGGATAACGGAATCGTGTTGGTGGCCAGATGTGAACACGACGCTGTGTTACAGACGCCCAACGGGGAGCTACAATTTTTAACGATCAAAGCTCTGAACGAATGGGATTCAAAGGTAAATGATAATAATTACAAATAAAACAAAATGTAACACAAATGCGTTTATATTTCTCATCTCTTAGTTGTCGGGCGGAGTTGATTGGCGCCATAAGTTGGACGTGCAACGTGGGGGCGTCTTGGCCACTGAACTACGTAATAACGCCTGTAAACTGGCCAAATGGACGGTTCAAGCCTTGTTGGCCGGATCGGATTACATCAAGTTTGGCTACGTCAGTCGTGTTCAAGTTCGAGATTCGTCGAAACACGTCATTTTGGGTACGCAACAGTATAAACCAACAGAATTCGCAACCCAGATCAATCTCAATATGGACAACGCCTGGGGAATACTCAGGTGTATTATCGATTTGTGTATGAAGCAAAAGGACGGCAAATATCTCATTATGAAGGACCCCAACAAGGTGAGTAATTAGTAGGTTCTTAGGCTGTACAAGTTTACGGCAGTATGTTATTGTTTTGTCTAAATTATTAACTTATTCAATACCGTCCACTCAAAGCTGGACATTTATTCGTTTAAACAGAAAATAAAATGTTATTTGAGTTTTAATTTAAATAGATTTATAATACATTTTATAGCTTATTGAACTTTTATTAAAATAAACAATTTTTAAATATTTTTGTTCAACTTAAGATTCAAAGAGATATTAAATAAAATGTTCAACGTTTAAAAGCCTGAAACAATACCTTCGCCAAAAGAAAAGTTCAGAGGATATCTTTTTTAGCTTTAAAACAGTTCAATAATTTATTTACTAAAATTAGTAACATAGTTAATTTTATCATTTTTACTGGCCATAAATGTATACTATTTACCATCGTGATCGATCAATAGAGTAAAATATATCTAATCTTGTGTTTGTTAATTTTGTCCAACAGCCACTCATTCGTTTGTACGACATTCCTGATAATACGTTCGATTCGGACAACGAAGAAAACGACGACGACGACGGAGGTAGTTATGAATTTTTAATTAAAAAAAAATAAAGTCTTTAACAGGGTACGGATTAGATAGAATAATGCAAATTTTCCCATGCAAACGACAGCAAACGCCTAGTGTGACCAAAATTTGTTTCGAATCGATTAATCATCTGAAATTTTCTCTTTGTATTATCGACTTATTTTTGCTATTCACTATCTTTACAGATTGTTCTGCACATTTAGATTCTTGTTGATATCAAATGAAATTTCTATCAATTTTTTTAAATTTTAATTGTGAAATGTTGCTACATCTATTTTTATTCTAAGTTGTAAATTTTCATATAAAAAATGCATACTTGTTTGCAGAAGTTTATATATGTAGTGCTTTAGTTTATTTTTTAAAAGCATTGTTAAACTTCTTTTCAAGTCATAAATGCGGTTTTCAAATTTAATTTTAATCTGTGCCCTAAATATATGTTTTACAAAAAATAATATTATAACTTATAAAGATTTATAAAGACATTTAATCAAGTGTTTTATTTTAATTGATGACTTGACTTTGCCTAAGTTTGTTAGATTTGTTTTAGGATAAAACTAATGTTTGGTTATTTTATGTATATTTTTTATTTTGTTTCAGGCGAGATTAAATCGACAATACCAGCTGAACTTCTTCCGCCAAAACCGTAGAACGGTGATACAGTTTTTTTTTATTTATATAAAAAAAAAATTAAATTAATATAATTAGTTGTAACGTTTATATAATATAATATGTTCTTCAGCTCTAATATTATATTATATTTCTTTATAATCCAAGCTCTATTTTATATATTATTTTTTTTTTAAACCGCTACGTTATGATTTATATTATACTACAAATAATTATAAAAAAAACAATAGTTGAACATATATTATTATAATTTGTGTAGTTCATTGCAAAGATAAAAAAAAACGAATCAACCAAATCAATTGAATTTGTCTACTTCATAAATTAATATAACCAATTGGAAACGATTTGGCTTTATCTTACTAGAGTGAAAGACATATTTTAAATAAGTCTTCAAAAATTAAAAACCAACAATGCCCCCGACTTGGCAAGCGTTTTAAAAATAGATTTTACCAAAGCAGTCAAGTATGTTGTATTTTTACTGTACTTACAAAAAAAATGTGCACATATGAAAACATTTTTTCCATCCACCTCACCTACACTTAATATTCTGATATATAAAATGTTACATTGTGTTTTAGAAGTTCGGTTTAGGCTGCCGTTTACTATATTTTCAGACTTTTTCTCGCATGATTTATGTACATTTCTGATGTTATTTAGTGATATTTAATGACATTAATTCCGTGAATTCCGTAAATATATATTTAAATTGTTTGGTTATTTTTAAATGTATGTAAAACATTGGGTAAGTCACATTATGTTTAAAATACTTTTTAAATTTATATAAATATCACATACTTTATAAAATATGAAACTACATAATTTTTTACATTGTTACTTAAGTTATAATTGAGGCGTATAGTTTCAAAACCAGCCAAAAGCACATTTTTTGAAAATTGGGTTTTTTTTTTTTTGTAAATGGTCACACTGTATTACAAGTCCTGTAAAAATATTGAACGTCAAATAGAGCATTAACTGGTTTAAACTGATCATGGAAAATTGTGGTTGGTTTCAAAATCACCCATCAAACGAAGTTTTTATCAAAACCAGCCATAAACAAACACGTTTTTTTTCGCGGCAAAAAACAACTGATAATGATATGTATACATTCTAAACCTATGATTTCATATTTATTACAAAATCATAGAGTAAAATGTTAAGGTCTTTTTCGTTTTTTGTTGTTCCTGAACAATTTCAAAATGTGATTATGGCTGGGTTTGAAACTATACGCCTCAATTATTATGGTGTATATGAAAAAATGCACAGGCACTTATATAATATGGAGAAGTTTACATTAGATGTTTTTTTTAAGCTTTACATTGGATTAGTTTATTTTTTAACATAGCGTTATTTTACTTTCTTTTTTTTTTATGGTCATGATTTATGTATTTTTTAGGACATTTTAATCCACGCCTACGCATGGAATATTAAAATGTAGTTTAAACACAAAAAAAACGTCTTAAGAATTAACCGTTTTAGTTCAAGATTTAATAATCATGTTTTAAGTGTAAAAAATTAATTTTTATCAGCTTTGGAAAAAGTATACACAGGTCATTTTAAATAAACGACTATTTGCGTATTACGTTTTATTTCAATTGCTTGGAGATAAAACTAATGATGTTTTATAGTTATCTTTTGTTTTTGTAGGTGAGATTAAATTATCGACCATACCTGTCGAATTCTTTCGCCGAATCGATAATAAAAAGATGATAACATTCCGGATTTAATATCGTATCAGCCGAATGATTGTTTTTTTTTTTTACATAGTTTCAACAAAGAGTAAACAATAGCTGAACCACAGGACTTGACGTGTTAACGCATAAACGGTATTTCAGAGTAAATTTTTTTTTTATTATTTTAAAAGGTTTAAGTGTGCTCCAAAGGTCGCGGTGGTGTCGACGGGCACACAGTTGATTGAATTTATCGATTAATTATAATATAATATATTTAACAAACATATAAAAAAAGAAAAAAAAAAATTGTTAACAAAATTCATTAAACACGTGGACCTGTAATTTAGTTTGTTATGCTATCACGGTACCTATTTTCTATAATACCTATTACAGTATCCGACCACGTGTTGCACGCTTAGCTGGTGAACGATCCGATAACGCGTTTGATCTTTTCAATGGCCAAGTCGACATTTGGCCCGGTCACGTCTTTGTGCAACACTATCCGAACGCTGCTCTTGTTCAGAGCCGACAGTTTCACGATGGTCGTTTCGGTCCTGTTCAGATTGTTGTCAACAGTCTCTTCGTGGTCCACCTAAGAGGAGTAATACGACGACTAAGTAAAAGAAAATGTTTTCTGACGATTCAATAATTAGTAAGTGTGTGTGATGATAAAGTGATGGACGAGTGGAGTTTACTAAGGTGGATAGAATTAGAAACCAATACACAAGGGGGAGTCAATAACAGTCGAGACAAAGGCAAAGGCAATGAGAGTTGTTACGAAGAAGAAGGAAAAGAAATGAAGAGGAAGACACAAGAAAAATGATGGATAGACGGTGTAGAGAGTGTGTGCAAGCCACCGAGACGAGAAGAATAAACCAAGATCGTGGGTTTTACAGGTAAAGGTGGTTGAATGAAGGCCGTGGTGTGATTGAGGAATAGAGTTTTCGCTTGTGCTTTGACTTACTTTCAGGAGTCGCTCGACAAAGTCCGGTATGCTAACGTTGGAAGTGTTTATGTTCACCAAGAGTATATTGGTGTGCAGACTGTCCAAATCGCAAGTAAAATTAAGGTTGCCGACTTGTTGGATTGCTAAAAAAAAAAAAATGAAATAAGCACACAAATTTACCACCAGACGTCGTGTCTTGAGACAGAAAAACAGCACAAGTTTTTTATACAAACCCTCTGCCACTTTCTTGGCGTTCATATGGTCCTCGGCCAGTCTTTCCACGCAGTTTTCCAAAGCATACACCCCGGCAGCTGCCACGATCCCCGCCTGTCTCATGGAACCGCCAAGAACTTTCCTAGTCCTCCTCGCCCTGTTGAAATACCATCGTTAGGTTAGCTTCTGCAGTGCATTAACGGGTATGCCGTGTACACTCACTGGACGATGAAAGACTGACTGCCGACCAACACTGCCCCTATGGGCGCTCCCAACCCTTTACTTAGGCAAAAAGTAACCGAATCGCAATGGCGCACAACCCGGCTGACCGGCACTCCAAGGTTGACGGAGGCGTTGAATACTCTGGCGCCGTCCATGTGCAGTGGAATATCATTTTTCTTCAGCAAATCGGCCAACTAAATTTAATTTAAAAAAAAGGCATATAGCTGAGTGCAGTCCGAGAACTGAAGAAGACATCAGATCCCCCCCAAGGAATATTGGAACTGAGAACTGAAAGAATTGGGCGCCAGAGTCGGGACTGAAGAGCTGAGAGTAGATTATGAATTTTACATTGTTAGACGACGACGATAAAGCCAAGATTAAGTACTATAATGATTAGGTTTCAACGGTTCAATCGTGTATGATAGGAATAGACATAGTAACTAATGCGTATGCCTGGTAGTTTAATAGCTCATGAAGATCTGTTCTTTGATAGTCTGCAAAACCTATATGTAGACGGCGTGTCGGTTATTGCTCTATACCTACACATACTAGGTATTACATAGTTTGCACAGTTTAAAGGTCACAGACTATTTATGACGTTAAAAAGTATAATCTAAAAATGTAGACAAAGCGGTTATGTACAATGTAGCCTACGTGGTGGCCTATGGTTTACACAGTGTCTGATGTAAGAGTATGTAGGTAATCTCGATTCAATCATATTATCATTATAATGGTTTGTTCCATTTATCTAATTGCGTTGTCCTGAAACATCAAAAAGGGACTCCTTTTTGTGAGGAAAAATTAGAGAAAACTTCAAAACAAAGGAGAATAATATGTTTTTGTACTGACTTGGTCCAGCCATTCCAGAGGCAAAACGGTGCCGCCGCAAAAGTTATGAGTGTTCTCTACGCACACCAAAGAAGTGTACGGTTCGTGTGGATCCGGACCCTGTGGCCTGAGTTTCTCCTGGAGATAGGACAGGTCGAACGTGCCGTCCGGTAAGTTCTGGACTTCGCGAAGTTGCAGGCTGCCGATCTAGAAAGCCAACAGTAGTAAAGTTCAACGTGTAAGCATGCCACAATCGTTTGGGGGCGTTTTGAAAATTATTAACCTGCGACGCTCCGCCCTGTTCGTACAACAGGATGTGACTCCTGCTGCCCACGATCACTTCGGATCCGCGATTTTTCGAATGGACAATCACTAAATAAATAAGTCAGTTTGCAGACTATGTCAGTTTATTCACAAGAAGTGGTTTTGTGCCTTAAAGTGTGTACCTAAGTACCCGTGTCTGCGATCAACGCTTGTGGTACTTAAGATCACGATTTGGCACTCAAAATTAACAGTTCAGTTATTATGTACAAATTGTTGTTTTAGTATCACGTTGAAAAATACACATTAAAATGTTATTCAGTAAATCGTACTAGCATAAGTAATGCGAACGAAGTAAAATACATTTGTAACTATGGTTAAAAAATCAAAACTGAATTACTTGAAATCAGATTTCCCATCAAGCCACTCGGTAAGAACAGACCGGCTTCTTTGCCGAGCAATTCCGCTGACATTTTCTCCAAACCTGAAAGCAAAACAAAGTGATTACTTATTGTTATTGCAAAGTGATTACTTTTAGAGAATAGAAATTGGGTAACAACTTCCAGCGGACGATTGAAGGATAACACCTTAAGACCAGAATTCCAACGCCAAATCAGGTCTTATATTATTAATACTTTACAAAAAAAAAAAAAAAATGCATTTTGTTATATTAAACTTTATTTCTTTAGGTACACACCATTGCCTATAGTGCAATAATTTCTGATCTGAATTGTAATTAGACATTACTGTAAAAAAAAAAAAATCACCTGACCAAACATTTCCAAACCAATAAAACAATGTAAAAAACATGTAACAATGACAAAAATAAACCGTTGAATTTTTTGTTTCTCTGTATAGTGATTATATTTTGCACACAAAGATAAAATAGTATATGATTTTAATTAATTCTATTATTTATTATCATTCAATTTGTTTACCAGTCGTGACATAACCCAGTGACCGGGATTTTAATTTGTTTATACTGCACTAATCTGTTTTTTTTTTGCAATGATAATAAAATATATGCTTTACCTCTACCCAATTAATCACAAAATGATTTAATAATTATCATTATTATTGCCAACATATTTTTATTGTTCGAGTGATTTGTGATCTGACACGTGTACTTGGATATTGATATATATTTTAAATTTCCAAGCCCACAAAATCTGAATGGTAGTTGACAGACTACAATATTAACTTCAACCGTGTTAGGGTTTCACTCCGGATACCGTCAATAATATATTATTATGATGTCACTAATTTCAGAAAGGGGACAAATCCAAATGTTTTAAGATTATGATTAAGATTAAGATGATGTGTTAAAACGGGACGAGTCCAGGACAAGGCCCCTTTCCTGCACTAAATTCCTCAATGCATGTTAAAAATTAAAATGGTATTTACTACATGTTAAGAATTTAATTGTACCAAGTCGAGCGTTTGAAATTGTTTAAATTAAAAAAAAAAAATGATTTAACAAACTAAATACACCTTATAAAGTATTGTATATGATATATATTTTTAAGATCTATATTTGCTGTACAGAAAAAAAAATAATTGTATGTAAAATTGAATGTATTGTACTTTAATATATTAATAAGATACACTTAAATGTGCCCCCTTTAGATTCAAATATGTACCTAGTGATGGGAATTGGAAAATCCGGATTTTCACAAAAAAACGCTATTTAAGCTACTTAAAAATCATATAAGTGTTAAATAATTTTACAATATAAAAATCTATAACTAAGTTACCATTTTTTGATAAATATGTGAAAATAAAACAAAACACCAAAGAGATAAACTGCTTTTGAATTTCGGATTTGTTGAAATCCGAAAATCCGAAAGCATTTTATAGACAAAGTTAAGAGTTTTTTTAAAAAAATTTTATCAACAAATTTTACTTAGGTACACATCTTTATGTTGTAATAGTATTTAACAATTATATGATTTTCAAATGACTTAAAAAGCGTTTTTTTGAAAAATCCGGATTTTCGGATTCCCATCACTATATGTACCCCATAGTCGGGGTAGATATGAATAAAAATGAAGATTTATTAAACAAAATTGATAGATTTGATAAATTACTTGATTGATGAGATTGAAACTACAGGTTGTAACTCGCACACTTGTAATTTGACATAAAATATATATTTATAAGAAATAATGTTTTAAAAACACTTATAAACTATTTTAATTAAATGTTTTATAATTATTATTCGAATACCTCCTTTTTATGAGAATATTTTTGAATTTAATTGGAATAACTTCTAGACAATGATTATTTGGATAACGTTTTATTCGAATGATTCTACATAGTCTGCAATGAGTGATGCAATCCACATTGCAATGAAATAATATGATACTCTAACGGCACAAAACTTTGTCCGTCCTGTCCATGTGGAATGATTACCCGACATTGGATCCTAAGTTCACACAAGATTAAGAAGTCTCGACTAGAAGGGGGTTGGAGGGGCAGTGGATTAGTGGAGTTTAAATCAGGCAACCAGGCGTAGCTCTCCTGGGGGTTTGAGAGGGTCGTTTCCCGAAGGATCCGGACCTACCACGTTGGAGGGGTAAAATTTTAGAAAACAAAGCTGTGTTTTTTTGTGGAATGTCGTACTTACGGTTGATCGTGGGGTCTTCGCCGTAACCGTCGTCGCCCACTTCGGCATCGAACATGGCTTGCCGCATTTTCGAGTCCGGTCTGGTCACCGTGTCGCTTCTCAGGTCTATCACTTTGCTGCCGGTCTCCGGCAAACCGTTGACCGTCTGTCTAGCCACGCTGGTGTACATAGTGTTCTCAAAGGAATATTATATTTTCCAGTCTATTCTTCGGTGCTGGTGTACGCACAGGTACACGAGCGCTGTTTGTTTGGATTTGAATTAAGATAAACCCCAAGATGATGGTCCTCAGCCGGCCGCCGTGCAACGCACACCGTTGTCAGAGCAGCCACACGATGGTAATATTGAATTTTATATCATAACACAATGTAATATAATAATATACTATATTATACTGCGCTATTTGATTTCTGGATCGTCTTATCTTCACACGCCGTACCGCTCTCATTCACGTGAACACCTATACCCACGACTATCACCTAAGAAAGTAACAATATACGTCATAGTATAATATTATTACTATCAGTATGATTATTATTATTATTGCAATAATAATACTAATCGTTGTTAATTTTACTATCAACGTTTGTTATCGACGGCCAAATACGCGTGATTCTATATAATATAATTTTGGGAATATTAGACTACACAATGGTCAGTGTGTCTACTAAGGATGGTCCGATTGACCTCTAAAGAGATAAGAGACTTTTTGGCTATTAGGTTTTGTGGGATGTACGGAATTTTGCTTTTTTTATGTAAAAAAAAAATTATTTAATTTAATTACAATAAACTAATTTTTTTTAATGAGTATCGGTTTCTACATAGCCAAAGAACTAGAATTTTTTTACAGAATAATTGTGATCGGACAATGATCTTAAGAAGGTGTAATTTTGTCAAGCTTTTAACTATGAAATAAACGCCAAAATAATACCTTGAAGCTAATGGAAATTAATCTGTAAATAAATTGACATGGTCGATATTTTTTTATTGAAACCCTTTTTTTATTAAACAAAATCATTATTTTGTTATTCAGCGATAAAAATTGTTTTTATCAAGTTACAGCCTGATAAAAACTGATGAGAAAATCATATCACGGATAGAAGGAATTCCAAGTATCATATTTCACTATTTAATGTTTCAGGTTTGAATTGCACTATTTGGTTAACATGAGAAAATGTATAAAAAACAAAACGTGTCGTTACTTAGTCGACAACTTTCATAAAAGATAGATTTTGCAGGGCAAAAGGTGTAGGTAAATTTTTGGCCATTACCAAACTTTGTCGGTTGGACATAATATTATTGACTGTTTATTATAATTATTATTATTTTTTTTTTTTACCAAATTAATCACGTCCGATCCAAATGACGTAGTTCTTTAATACAAAATACAAAAAAAAAGAGAAAAAAATCATTTTTCTAGAAACGCTGATACAATATCAAACACGTTTTTCCAATAACAGTGCGCTAATGGTTATCTATTAAAAAACAAAAATTGCCGACCAGGTAAGGTCAGCTGCACAAAAAAAAATATAACTTTTATTATCTTAATCTAATTATCTAATCACTAACCTTGTAGTGTTATTGGCCCGGAGTACTTAATTGGCGCATTTGAAAATTATTGGAAAGACAGAATCGCTCCGGATAGGTTAACTGAAAGTACTAAAGCTATATAATCTAATAACAACCGATTGAAACGGGACGGACAAGTTAATATGCTATATTATGAAATTCATGTTTTGCTGTACTTTCACCGTCCACCGACGAATACCTGTCAAATTAAAATATACTAGACCCAAGTTTAATACACCAGTATATTATACTTTCACGGTAGGCAAAACCTAATGATAATATTTCTTCCTCGACGATATTTTTAGAGAGCCTAAACCGTCATAGTATCATAATTCATAAATATTTTTGTCGTTTAATAAAAAATTTGGTCAACATTTTTTTTATATATTTACCTAATAAAATATATGAATGCTACAAAGAAGCTCGGTCAATATATTTGGTTGTAAATAAAAGTAAAACGACAAAGTATTATTAATAAATTTAAATATTAAATGCATTGAAAGCGGTCTGGTTTTTGACGTTTTAGACCAAAAAGCCTAAGACAAATTTTGTACTACTTAGGGTGGCCCGGTTTTAATCCTTTAAAGAAGTTCTTTAATAGGTTTTGAAAAAAAATTGTTTTCAAATTTTCATTTATTTAATTACAATATACTGAAATTTTTTAATGAAAATAGGTTCCCTACATAACCTAGTAAAGTAGTCAAAGAACTTCGAATTTTCTGACAGAATTGAGATCACACGACTCGGTGGAAATTTATTAAAACAAATATTTTCTTAAGTATTACCTCTAAAAAACGACCGCTTAAACAATTAATTTGAACAATTTGCCATAATTCTTAACATATATACACTCTTGCCACGATAGTTTTATTGTTGCAAAAAAATTGCTTAAATTAAAAGAAAAACATCCTAGAATTCTGCAGCTGTGTAAAAAAATAAACTTCCATTAAAAAGGATTGCTGCGAAATATATAGTTTCATGTTCAAACAATATTTTGACATTATACCAATAGATAGCGCTATGTATACCTAAGTAATATTTACTATTTTGACACCAAAGGGAAGACCTTAATATGCTATGACTTTTCTCTTTTTACTTTCTCGACAAATTAGGCTTAACTAAACGATTATTTGTTCATTTATTTCGGTTTATTTTTCGATAAAGTAAGTAAGTGTTCATTGTTTAAAAAAAAATATATATATATACTCGTATGTAAGTCGAATTTTAGTAATCGCTCGTCAAAGAAACTGAATTGTAATTCTTGTTTTTATGTGTTTAAAACTTAAAAGCCATATTATTGCAATAGTCAAATACTTTATACTTTCTTCGAAGAAAATTATACGTTAAAGGTTACGGATATAAATATGTTACTTGTAAACACACTAATTATAATGGCAATTAGAGGTTTAATCAAAATTTTCAGTAAATAGTGAAAGTTCAATCAAATATAATACAGTAATTAATCCAACCCAACCATTGTATAAAAAATAAATTTAATCTTTTTTTTTTGCTATCTTTCCTGCTTATTAATTGTGCATAGCGTGTGATTTACAAGACTAATTTTCGCACCGCTAATGCTAAAAAACACTTTAATACCACACCTACCGTTCAAAAGTTATTGCCATTTAAAGTTCATGTTAATGCTCTATTTAGAAGCATTTTTAGGTATATATATATATTATGTATTTATATTTATACACATATAAATCATATAATTTGGTGTGGCTTTTAACAAAATATGTGTAATTCAATATCTAAACTATAATTTAAAAAAAAAAACACAAATAGGTTGAATTTAAATGTTATTTGATATATCTATAAAAAATTATCACTAAACAGCTATAACTACTATAATATCTAAATTGTATATAATATTGAAGAAATAGTAGGTTAAACAATTTTTTTTTCCTTTTTTATACATAAAATATTAGTCATTACCTAATAATATTTTGGCCTTCGATAAATTCCCAATTATTCCTTTGCTGTTCCTGGAGTGGCTACCGTGAAAATTGCATTTAAATACCGACAAGTACAAATACAACAGTTGATTTAGAGAATGGCGGGTCCACTATATTGTTATTAAACGATAACGTTTATAATGATAATAAAATAGGTCGGTTGTAAAGGGAAACCAATTAATAATTAGGTGTCAGCAATTCTAATTAACAATATTATTTAACAAAGTTGTGTGTGTGTATTTACCGCTTATGTAGCGCCCATATAGAAAATTTGTAAACATCAGGTAAAAATTAAACAAACAAACATTTAACATCACTTCAAGTATGTAATAATTTCAATCTGCAACGCGAAATGTTTACAAAAACAAGTCTAAAACACGAAGTTTGTCGTTCCTTTTGCGGGTCTTATTGTTTTTAAGAAACACAAATAATTAGCTTACAATTTAAATACACTGTTTGTCACACCCAGAGTCCGATATGGGAATTTTGAACCCTAAGGCAAAACATCTTCGAGGGCCCTCTTCCATAAATTACAAAAATAAAAGACCTCGCCAACAATTTTTTTTCCCTTTTACTATTACTTGACTTTTTTTTCTGTTTTAAAAATGACTCATGTTATGTGAAAATAATCCTCTCGGCGGTACAACAACAAGTGAGTATATAATATTATTAATAGGCTGTCTCGTTAGGTTATTTTACCATTTGTCATTGCTACTGGGAAATATTCGAAAATTAGAAATCATTGATCTAGACGATGCGTTAATACTCAATCATATTATGTTTTCACATGATAAAATAAAATAAAAAACATAGCTGTCGCCACTTTACCTGTCACAGAAAACGCGATTGCCCGCATACAAGTTGAGTACAACTAAACTGTCGAAAACAACTATAAAAACAAATCACAAACGAAGAAAGTACAGTTTACAAGAAATAACTGTTGGCAATTTCAATATTATATAGTATTTTACTTTATCATGCCCGCCGGACACAATTTAACAAAACAAATTGTACACATTTATTCTATGAAATCAAATAAGCAAAAACAATTAGTGTTTACTATGGTTGTGCATTATGTAAATAGAAAATAACATTGTTTATGAAACTTAGTACACAAACACGGTTCGAAACAAAAAATAATAAAACTGAAGGTCCTGGGTAAGAAGTAATTTTTTTTAAGTATAATTGTTTTCAATATTATATGTTAAAAATAAATTGTGTCTGCTTACAATTTTGCACAGACGATAAACCAACAATTTTACGGTGATCAAATTCCTTTAAAATGTTGATGTGTTTTTACCCTCATGTTATACTATAGAAAAAACAAATACTGTAATCGGTTGACTTTATAATATGTTCCTACTTGTCCACCCCCATCCGTGTTTGATTTCAGTTATTCCACTACTTTGCACATTCTTTTTTTGTTTAATCATACATAGGTATATATTTGGGAAGATAAAAAAAAATGATTTATATTAATCGACACTATTTTATAGATAAAAAGCTCTGCAATCCATATGTGTAAAATGTTTAGCCTACATTCCATAAATTTCTTAAACTAATAAATACACAGTTTCAAATTAAAAACACCGCTTGAAGTTAAACGAAAAATAAAAACTAATTAATACGCCATTGACCTTAATTTAAGAACACGAACATCCAACCATTAACAAATTTAAAGTTCTAAAAAAAAGTAGTGCACTGACATTTGACTGTTCGCTTATTGAAAAAACACATTATATATTTAGCATCGCTTTCGTGGAGATAAAAATCCAGGCAAATAATTTCTTCATAGAAACTCCTCAAGTCACATTCTCTTTTGAGCAGATAAAGGTGTAACTTCTCGACTTTTTATAGCGGCTTGCGTGATAAGTGATAACACAAAAATATAATTAGGTAGATTTTAATTCCAATAATATCCTTAAGAAGTATCAAATTATTGCTTCAATACACAAAACAAAACAAAATTTGTAGTTTCTTTATTGTTTTGTTTGTGTAAAAAATAGTTGGTTATTTTAAAGTTCTATAAATCAATTTGTATGAATGCTATTCAATATTGCCAAACAAACTCCTAATCAAACCATGCGACAGCTGTTAATAATTATAATATACACTTTACAGTGAACATCAAAGGTTTAATATGATTTACACATAATGTTAGGTACCTACCATTTAACCATTTTTATCTTGTAACAACAATCCGATTGGAAATCACTAAGCAACAAAACACTAGTTCACGAAATGGACGGTGGTCAAGATGTTAAATAAGATAATTTCATAGTTTTTGCGGTATACAATATACATAACTGTATAAGATTATTGAAACAGATCAATGAATCGATTTGGTCGTTAGGTTAAGACTTTTAACACTCGAATAATATAATTAACTATACAACGTGACATACTTATCAATAATAAGTATTGTACAAAATAATCATTGCGTGTAAAGTGAACAAAAAAAAAAATTCTTAAGATGTAATCAGTATAGTTTGATTACCACAGTGACCTATGCGCACACGTGATACTCTATACGACCGAGGAGGTATTGCTTCCCCCCCTGCCAATATTGTATTTAAATGCTTAAGTGTGAAGAGCAAGTGACGACCCGTTCACAGACACATTCAGTTAATCTCCCCTACTGTGATTCGTTTGTCGTTCAGTGATCTCTTCAGCATCACTTCGGCATCGTTTGTTTAAATTTAGATTTAAGCACATACATTCTGTCGATATTGAATCATTTTGATACCTATAGTTTCTGTAAGGTGCTTTCAAATCGAAACAAACATTAATTTATTGAAAAAAAATAGTAGGTCAGTGTGATGCCTAGGCAAAATTAGTATAACAAGCCGTAGTAAGTACAAGTACAGCAATCATAACAATTTTAAAAACAAATACATTCAATTTCGACGACCTCTTGCAAAAATTGTAAAAAATACCATATGGAAAACATTAAAAAATTGTCCAAGCCGTGGTTAGGGAATAGTTTGCGAGTTGTGGAAAAATTCGTTTTGACTAAGCTAATTTAATGTGAACAAAACCTGAAAGATCCAGAGGTAAAACCACTTTACACAATTTGTCTAAAATTTGTTAATGAATTTTTATTTTGTAAAACTTGTTATCTAACATACTTTTCTATAAACAAACACTTATACATACAATTCCTCCCAATATTATAAACCTTTACATACACAATTCAAATGTTGGAAAACATCAACTTACAAGTCTTGTGCTGTAAAGTAATTTTTCCTAAGGACCCTTCGAATACTTAAGAAAAAATACCCGTCAACTCCTAAAATAATCGACTGAATCAGTGAAGATTTTTTCTCCTGACTGAGACCGATTTACATGTTTTTGGTATTCGATTCGAAAAAATAAACCATTGGACAATTATTGTCAAACGTTGACCGTTTTAACTCTTTTAGTTCCCAGGCACATTACAAAGTGACAAAAAAATATATTATCAGTAAGTAAATATTCTCTAAATTTAATTTGGACCGAAAGGGGTAAGTTTGGAGTATAAAATATTTTTCTACGGATTTGTGTGTGTACATTATATTATTATTATGTTGTTATACACTGAATGTATACATTAACAGCTGTTATAATATCATGCTGCTGTTTGGACGTTGGTTTTAGCATCGCCTTGCGCGTGATTTGATTTCATAATGCCCAACAACGCCCTACCGGATCTTCAAAAAATAAAAATAAAAACACATTGTATACACTCCCAAGTACCGAATAAACGCCATTAAAACGGACACTATTTCCGGGACGATAAACAAGCACACACATTAGCATCTATACTGCGTTCGGCTACCGAAGGAGTAACTAAAAGCGAAGGTCATTTACCATTTCATATTATTGTTTTATGTAAATAATATTAAGTTTTATCACAAAATAAAATAAAAAATCGGGCTCAAAACAAATATTGTCACAATAATAATACTATTATCATGTATCGTTAACATCCGAATGTCTTTATACGAAGTCCACAAAGGGTGTGAATAAGACATCTTATTCAAAAAGACTCCCCTCTTTAAATTGTTTGACTCAAAAGGATTTGATAATAAAAAATCGGACCGTCGAAGCACGTTTATACAGGTGATTCGGGTAAACAGATTGAAAAAAAATGTTAAATTTTATTATAAATACTACAAAAAAAAAAAAAAATTATAAATAAAATAAAATTGTTTATAATTTGTTTTATCCATATGATAAATTGCTTCACAAACTAAAACGCTTTTTCACTAATTATTTAGACTTGAGCAATTAAAACCAAGATAATTTATCACTTTCAATATTATTTTCCATTTTTGAATTTAATCATTATTTTTGTTGTCGAAGAAAAAATGTTAAATTCTATTGTACAATGTTATTTATTATGTTATTACTTATTACCATTAACCGATTAAAACGTTTTATCACGTTTGTCAAAGTAATATTGTAGTTTCAATTTAAAAACTTAATGCGTTTAATTTCAATAATATCCACAAAACATACCATACGATTTTGCAGTAGTTATTATTGTGACAACTTTTATATAAATTTATAATTTAATACAATTTTCTTTGGACTTTTTTTTGGAAAAATAAATGTTTACTGAATACTTCCCCACGTTTAATTGTTAATTATTTTACTATAATCGTATCAATATGATATTTATTATACATAATATTATTGAGAAGTAATTAAAAAATATATATTACGTAGGTAGGTAACTAACGATGATATTATTATCTATGGATGATTATACAAATTGAATCAACAATAATAGCCATAAGTAAAAAATGTATGTATATATACTAACATTAATATAGTTGTTATTGCAGTCACTGACGCATATAGTACATATATGTAATTTGTTTTTTTTAACAAATTAATTCTTTGTAGAATATTATACTTGAATTTAACAAAAATACATCCTGTTTGTCGTTATTAATAAAACTATTAATTTACTCTTATAATGCGAGTTTTTTTTTTTAATTAAAATTATCTTTAACATTTCAACAAAAAATAGTTAAATATTAAGTTTCTCTTATAGTTGCCTAATATGTCACGCCTTCTGTAATTTATGTATGGTTTTTAAGTTTGTAATAAATCAAAATTGTCTACAATAAACCGTGAGTAAACAAAAAAATTAAATTCTGAACGACTCGTGTCTTTAATGGAACAAGACGTTCGTCCTTGTTATTGCTTTGTTATAGCTTTATGCGAATTCCAAGTAAAGTATTGTGCTCGGTTTTATACAATCCAAATGCTTAAGCACAACAACGTAACGGCCTAAGTCAATAACAACCGAATTGGTTTGATGTGTTCACTAAAAATTCCTCATCAGTCAAATTAATTAAAAACTCAAAACCAAACCAGCATTTTCATAACACAAAATTATTTACATCATCCAACAGCAGAGCTAGTATGAAAATGTAGGGGAAAAAATTGTGTTTTTATGATGTACAACTTAAAAAGCTCTATAGTCAATAAACTAAACCAGTTAAAATTCTAAAACTCTTCATTGCACTTCTACTGCACTCCAAGGTTAGGTTAATAAGACCCTAAATAACAAAATCCGTTTCTGAGATCTGTGTGGCTAATGAAAGTTAAGCAAAACTAGTTAAACTAGTGTTTAAAACTAACAATTTTTTGTATTTATAAACAACTTAAACAATTCGTTTTTTTTATGTTTTAATTTATATTTTGTATCTCTTTGACAAGCTATTTTGAATGAATAGAGAATCTATCCTCTATCCCTTATAGTTTACGAAGATTAAGCGTTTATGAGATACAAACAACGTACATTATAAAATTTAAATCATTGTGCATAAATATGAAATCCAATCAACCTGTATGTCAAAGCCAAGACAACATGTCTATCTTCTTACTATTATAGTGTAGAATTTGTTTTTTGTTTTCCTGTTCACAACAAGCTGTGTTAAAGTTATCAACGGCAAATTTTTTTCATTTCAATTACCATATTTACTTGATTTTTTAAAAATCAAGACTGTAAAATGTCATATATTCTAATATACAATATTCTAAATACAAATCTGACGCTGGTGATTTTAATTACCCACTCGAATGCTGCACGAATTTCTAAATTGTTTTTTGAGAAATAAAAAAAACCTTAAGAAGAGGTGAACGGCATTGGATGACCGATCTAACGAAACGGTAAGCTATCATACCGTGACTACACGTTTAAAGCATAACATACTAATCTGCAACTTAACATGAATTTCGAACATTATAACAACACAAAACATTGCGTTATGCATTTTCTTATAAGAAAGTAGTGCGAATTTTACTTTTAAAAAAAATTATTTATTCCGCTTAGCGAAAAAAAATGCATTTGTTTTTATTAGAAAAATAAAGAGCTAACTTGTAAACTAATTATAATTTACACACATAATATTAATAGTATAAATTAGAATACTAAACGCACGATAATATGTTTTGATTTTTGGGTTTAGAATTTAAAAAAATATAATGTAGAATATTTTATGTTGCCTAAACTATTTGTATCAATTCAGTTAATTTCTGAAATAATTATTACCATGATATTATGTGCAAAAAATGCCTTAGTTATAGTAACATTAAAATTTTCCGAAAGAAGTTTATAATTACTATAATGTTATCAGTATAAATAAAACGTTATAATATTGATCACATTATGTTTTAACATTCTGGGAAATATATCTGCAATGGTTACTTACATATTAATTTTGACCAAAAATTTTTTTTCAACTCGCAAACAAATTGATATTTATTTAGTTTTATTGAATTTTTATCAGAATGCACTTATGTATTTTTTATCTGGTTCATTTAAATTGCACTACTTAATGTGGAATTAAAAAAAAATGTGACAAATTACCATTTTCAATATAAAACATGTTTTAAAAACAAGATTTTACTTAATTTTATTAATTTATTACAGTCTTAAAATTAAAACAATAACAATTATGGCCTTTTTTAAAAAAGAATATGTAAAAATTTTTTTTTTTAAACGATGAGCTAATATGGCACCTTGTATTATTACAGAACACACCCAAGCATTTGCATATTTTAATTTTGCTGTTTGTGCAACTAAATAGGTTGCAAACGCATTTGTTTTTAAGACCTTGGCCCGCTAACGTAGAGCGAATCTCTTAGAATTAAAATATTTGTATCTCAAACGACATTTGATTTCATAGCGAAAATTGAGAGACAAACGACTGATCGATTAATTTTGTTTTTTTTTAAATTATTGCTAAATCAATTTAGTTATCTTTCATCATATATACGCGCTTTTGTACAATAGTCAATAGATACAAATTGTACTTATTGTTAATACTTATAATTATACCAATAGTTGTATTGTATCGTAACAATAATATAAAATATAGTTTACCATATTAATTATTATTACTTTATCAGTACTGTCGAAGAATACAATG